GCCCAAGGTGTGATTCTTGATTGTATCTTGGCTTGTTTTCTTTTTAAAAAAGCTATAAAGACCAAGTTTTTAGACAGTGGGGGAAATCTATGAAGTGCATATTAGATGATATAAGGAAATTATTAATTTTGTGAGGTGTGGTAAGTGTATTGTGGTTATGGAGGAGAATTCTTATTTTTTGGAAATGCATGCTTAAGTGTTTAGGGCTGAAGTGTTAGAGTATCTGCGCTAAACTTTAAAATAGTTCAGCCACAAATTTAACCTATAGTAAGATGAAGTAAATATGGTAAAATGTTGACAGTTGTTGAATCTATGCGATTATATGTAGGTATTCATTTTATAATTCTTTCTACTTTCCAGTATGTGTCAACATTTTCAGAATAAAAAGGTCTTTTTATTTATTTATTTAAAGTTTTCCTTCTCCAGGGCTCCCACAGCAAGTTTTTAGACCTTTATTAAAGAACAAATCACAATATATGGAGGCGACATATGCCAGTGAGTCTTGCCATTCAGATTACAGGTTACGAACTCCTGGCAGTAGGATCCGAAGTCTGGATCAACTTTATTTCTCACAGTGCCAAGTTCATAATAAGTACTCAATAAACATTTGTTCAATGAATGAAGACTTTACTCGTGCTACAGTGCATTGTCCATCAGTAAACTTACTTGGTAATCTCCAGAATGAAAATGATAATGACAAAATTTAATCAAGCACTTACTATGTGCCAGGCTTGGTGCTAAGTCCCTAACATGCATTATCTCATGTAACCCTCACAGCAGTCGGAAAAATATCGATCCCATTTTACACGCGAGGAAACTGAGACACAGAGAGGTGAAGAAACTTGCCCCTAAGATCACTCAGTAACTGCAGAAGCATGTGGTTCTAACCATTACACTATGTTGCCTTGTCCCTCTCTGGCACAATCCTACTGGCACAGGTAATTATGTAGGTACGTGTTTTAGTACCTACCTCTGCTGAACTAGGAGCCCTTCAAAGGCAGAGGAAAGAAAACATGTCTACACAAAAACTTGTATACAAATATTAATAACAGCATTATTGAGAATAGTCAAGGAATGAAAACAGCCCAAATGTACATCAACTTGATGAATGGATAAACAAAATGTGGTATATCCACACGATGGAATATTATTCAGCCCTAAGAAGGAATGAAGTACTGATACAATCTACAACATGCATAAATCTCGAGCACATTACACTAAGCGAAAGAAGCCCATCTCGGGGACTTCCTTGGTGGCCCAGTGGTAAAGCATCCACCTTCCAATGCAAGGGATGCGACTTTGATACCTGGTCAGGGAACTAAGATCCCACATGCTGCGGGGCAGCTAAACCTGTGCACCACAACTACTGAGCCCACGTGCCTTTGAGTCCACACGCCACAACTAGAGAGGGAAAACCCGCACGACCACAACTAGAGCGAAGCCCAAGCGCCACAACGAAGAGACCGCACTCTGGAATGAAAGATCCTGCGTGCTGCAACTAAGACCCGACGCAGCCAAAATAAATAAATAAATATTTTTTAAAAAGAAACCCATCTCAAAAGAGCACATCGTATATGATTCCATTTAAATGAAATGTCCAGAATAAGCAAATCCATAGAGATAGAAAGTAGAGTAGTGGCTGATTAGGGCTAAGGGGTTGGAGGATTGGGGGGTGATAGCTAAAGGGTCCAAGAATTCTTTCTGATAAAAATATTCTGCGATTGATTGTGGTGAAAGTTGCGCACTCAATATATCAAAAACAATTGACTTTACAATTTAAATGGGTGAATTGTATTGTGTGAGAATTGTATCTCAATAAAGCTGGAAAAAAAAGCAGAGGAAATATCTCATGCACCAGTGAATCTGCCAAGCTAGTTGAGTGAAAAAAGAATGAATGAATGAATGAATGGCTGTTTCCATTGCAAATGACAAAAGTCTTCCGTATTTCCGAAGTCTAAAATGAATGTCCTTGACAGCCTTACGGGCATGCTCACTCTTAGCTCCCAGGAACTCAATTATATACTAAGAAACCTGATAATTCAATAAATAATTCCTGAGGTTGCCAGTGCTACTCCAGAAGAAAAGAGAAATGCACAGATGATTTCTTTCAGATACAAACTGTGGGATTGCTGAACAAGGAGATGCCAGGATGTTCTGTCTGGGAAGGGTCGTGGAGATCTCACTGTGATCTGTTTCTACTTGGCAAACCTAGATTCATTTATTTGGACTCATCTGACTATTCCTGTGTTTTTTTTCTCCTTGCCCTGGTCATTCAGAAGGATGGTTGTAAATGAAAGCGCCAGGATAAAATACTTTATGAGGTTCTGTGGAAATAATAGGGAAGGACCCAGACACTTCAGTGGGTGTCCGTCAACTGGCAGGGAAGTTTGCTTGTTCAAAATGTTGGTTGGGGCTTATCCCTGGAAGATTCAGATTCAGTTTAACTAGGGTGGGGCCATAGAAACTGCGTTTTAAATAAAGCATCTGCGGTGTCCTTGATACAGGGGAAACCTGGCCATATGAGAAACACTGACCTAAATAAAGCATAGACAGGAGGAACTGAAATGTGTACATTATCTCAGGCAGAAAAATGGGTTTGCTGAGGGATCTTAGAGATCATGGAATTTAAAGGTTTTCATGCTGTGCCCCTGGAACTCCTAAGGACTCCATGGAGCACTTGGAGGGGCTGTTGAGTTGGTGGAGGTACAGAGGTGCAGATAGGTCTACCTCAGCACATGCCCCTTTTTCTTTTTGTTTTTTATTTATTTATTTATTAGAAGATGTTGGGGGTAGGAGTTTATTAATTTATTTTTGCTGTATTGTGTCTTCGTTTCTGTACGAGGGCTTTCTCTAGTTGTGGCAAGCGAGGGCCACTCTTCATAGCGGTGCGCGGGCCTCTCACTATCGCGGCCTCTCCTGTTGCAGACCACAGGCTCCAGACGCGCAGGCTCAGTAGTTGTGGCTCACGGGCCTAGTTGCTCTGCGGCATGTGGGATCCTCCCAGACCAGGGCTCGAACCCGTATCCCCTGCATTAGCAGGCAGATTCTCAACCACTGCGCCACCAGGGAAGCCCCCACATGCCCTTTTTAACAGCTCTATTTCCATTTGTTTTTCTAAACTAAGATATTGGGTTCTATTGCTTGAATGCCATTAATCATGCCCTGTCCCTCATATACAAGTGGAAAAACTGAGGACTAGAGAGGAAAATATTTTCCCAGGGTAGCAGAGTGACAGCACACGGATGGCAGAACCAGGGCTGCTACCAGGGCTTCACTTCCAGCCCAGGGCCCTTCCCACCAGGGAATGCCAGTTTGGACACATCTCTTCATCTCAGGGTGGCTTTCCCTCTCTGCCTGCAGCAAATCCCACAGAAGACAGCAGGGCCTAGACTAGGGTAAGAGGAATTGAGGCATCCTGCCTCCAGCACAAAATTTAGGGGGTTGCCCCAAAATTCAGAAATCAAGACAAATAATATTTTAATGCAATATATTAAAAATCAAAATTAATGCCAAAAAATTCATGATGAACAAAATACCAAAATTTTACATAAAAGTGAAATCAGTAGTTCTGATTTTTCCTTTTGCCCCAAGCTTCAATATGGCTCTCTACAGCACTATTACTTATCCTGCTTTCATTTAAAGTTTTGGTATTTTGTTCATCATGGATTTTGGGCATTAATTTTGATTTTTAAAATATTATATCTGAACTTCCCTGGTTAAGAATCCGCCTGCCAATGCAGGGGACATGGGTTCGAGCGCTGGTCTGAGAAGATCCCACATGCTGCGGATCAACTAATCCCGTGTGCCACCGCTACTGAGCCTGCGCTCTAGAGCCCGCGAACCACAACTACTGAAGCCCACGTGCCAAGAGCCCGCGCACCGCAACAAAGAGTAGCCCCCGCTCGCCGCAACTAGAGAAAACCTGTGTGCAGCAATGAAGACCCAATGCAGCCATAAATAAATAAATAAATAGATTTATTTATTTATTTATTTTTCTGCAGTACGCGGGCCTCTCACTGTTGTGGTCTCTCCCGTTGCGGAGCACAGGCTCCGGACGCGCAGGCTCAGCGGCCATGGCTCACGGGCCCAGCCGCTCCGCGGCATGTGGGATCTTCCCAGACCGGGGCCCAAACCCGTGTCCCCTGCATCGGCAGGCGGACTCTCAACCACTGCGCCAGCAGGGAAGCCCAGATTTATTTTTTTTAATAATAAAATATTTTATTCAAGTATTATTTATCTAGGTTACTAAGTTTTTTTGCGTTTCCCTTAACTTGGTGCCTGAGGCAGGTGCCTCATTTGCCTTGCCCTAATCTTGGTCCTATAGAACAGGTCTTTTGGCAGATTGCTGAGTAAATGCCCCATTGTCCTCTGGGAATCCCTCCAGATCCTATCACTTTATTTGTCTGATGGAACTGATGTTTGTTTGGTCTCACTGTGACATTGCCCTTGCCACTTGACCTGCAGAGAGGTTTGTAATCTGCAGGGGATATTTGTTTTGCTGACCCAGCAACATTCCCCCCTCTCTGGCAACAGTAATTGTTAAATTGTTCCGGTTCATTCCCTCCCCATCTTTGCAGCCGACTCCAGCCCATAGCCTAGAGGTCGGCATGTGACTCAGCTCTGCCAATCAGAGGCTTGCATCCCCTGGCCACAATGATTGGTTCAGGAGTGGTCATGTGACTCAGTTACAGCCAATGAGACTCAATTCTGGAGGTCTGGTCTGAACTTCAGGAAAGGGAGACTTTCTCTTTTCTCTGGTAGCTGAGAGGACAGGATGTAAGCCGCCTTGGGCAGCCTCTCTGAGACACAGAAGGCTGCAAGGTGGACAGCAGCAGATAGAGGCAAGGAAGAAACGTCCTGGTGATATTGCTTGAGCTCCTGGATCCAGCTGTGCACAAGGCAATTCTACACTCTGGACTTAAGGGAAGTGTGGGCCAACTTTTGCCCGAGTCAGTTTGAGTATGTCTCTGTCACATAGCTGATTCACTCCTTCCCTGCAGTCTGTCCAGGTTGTCCCTGGGAGATGCCTTGGAGAAGCCCAGCCCCAGACTTCCATCCTGAAGATCTTCATCCAGGTGATGGCATCCTTCATCCAAGGGCAGCCTTAGAAGGCAGAGTATTGGTAACAACAACTCTAGATACCATTACTGAGCAGTAGTGCCACTGTCGGGTCCTGTGGTAAATATTTACACACCTATATACTCATTTTCTCCTATAACAACTCTACAAAGTAGATTCCGTTACTAACTCCAGGCTGAAATCCGGTCCATCCATCCCCAGGCCAAATGTCCCAAATCACCAACTAGAGGCAAAGGGAAGGCCCCGGTTAACCAGCAAATGAGCCTGCTTCCCACTCCACTGTGCTCTTTCGTAAATGGATAGACTTTCTAGGAGGCAGACTGTTTCTAAGAACAGCTGAGCCTGGGTGTTAACAAACCCGTATCCCCACACTTTCCCGTAGCACTGTCAGCATCTTGAAGTAAAAAACCTTAGGCCAGCTTCCTTTGACCTGGGAGTGAAGCTCAGTGCCACAGCACAGCGGTGGCCTATATGAGAAAAGAATCTAGAAAAGAATGACTATATGTACATGTATAACTGAATCACTTTGCTGTACACCTGAAACTAACACAACACTGTAAATCAACTATACTCCAGTAAAATCAAAACAAAACAGAACAAACAAAAAATTGGTGGGTCGACTCACTGACCGTGGCCGTCTTTGCCGTCTTTGTTCATTTATTTATTCAACAAACATTGATTGAGTGCCAGCTATGTGCCAGATCCCGTTCTCAGCACTGAGGATACAAATGTTGAACAAAACTGGGGGCAGTCTGTGCCTCCAGGGAGCTGACAGTCTTGTCAAGGAGGCATGTATTAAACAAATAATTGCACATGGAATCATTTAATTACAAGTAGGATAAGCAAGGAGAAGGAAAAGTTCAGGCTGATATGAGAATGTGCACTAGAAGCATCTTAAACCCATTGGCGGACTAACTAAGCAACTTTATTCATTTGACAGGTGTGTTTGGATTGACTGCTCAGTGCTAGGCACTGTGTTTGCTGCTGAGTGCTGGACAGAGAGGGGAACAAGGCTCAGCCCCTGCCCACAAGGATCTTGCCATGCACAACAAATACACCATCTGACCAGCTCTCCCACCTGCAGCCTGTGAGCAGCTGCAAGTTTACAGCTTTGACATCCACTTGAAAGAGCAATGCTGTGCCTGCTTCCACAGGTGAACCAAATATATTTGACTAGTTCCATTGGCCTCCTATTGGTCTTACTATGTCTTTCTCTGACCCTCAATGACTTTTGCTCTCAAGGGTTGGAAAAATTGGGACAAATGGTCACTGAGCTTATTGAGAATGTTTTATGATGCTCTGTAAAAATAGGGTCTTGGGTGAAAAATACACATGGTCTCATTGGGAGAAGAAGGCATCAGGAAAGGGAAGGGACTGGGGATTGAAACTCCCTGGGCCTTGTGGCTCCAGCCTGCTGAGGACAGGAGCTTGGCTTTGATGGCAGGCCTTTGGTGATATTTCTGGCTGCCTGGCCCCAAGGGTGTGAACTGGAGTGTGTTCCCAGCTCGCCACGGGGAACTTTCTGGATGGCTTTATTATTCAGAGCATAAGATGCTTTGGCTCCAATAGCCGGAGACAGTCAGCGATTCTGCAGAGCTGGGTTCTCAGCAGCAGAGGTGAGCATGTGGGTGGTTTCAGACACAGGAGGTTTGGCTCAGTCCTTTTTAGAGCCAGCCTCCCGCAAAGCAGCCAGAATCACTTGGCCCCCTGGGCCCTAAGCCAGGCCTGAAATGTGACAGGGTGGGGAGAAATGGGAAGGGAGTGGCCTCTGACTGTATCCTCCCTGGACTGGAGCACTTAGAGGGTGGGGAATGCAGCTGATTCTTTTTTGTATCTCCCAAGCCTGATGCCCTGGGACAGGTGTCTTGTATCTCATGTGTTGAGGGTTTACTATATGCTAGGCATTAGTTCATTTAATCCTCACAACAACCCCATGTGATAAGTTCTGCTATTATTCTCATTTTATAGGTAGCTGAGGCTCAGGGTAGTGGAGGAGGATCCACAGAGAGTACAAAGCTGTGCTACCCTGTCGTCTCAGCATGGCCCTCAGAGAGCAGACAGTCAGCAGAGTGGGAGGGTGGTGAGGATTCTCTTACATGTGGCTGCTTGGGGTGGAGCCTGGAATAGAAAGCAGCTAACTCCTGGGACAAGCCTCCAACTTGGTACAGAGCCTTGACCATCCTGGCTCTAAGAAGTATGACATTAACTATTTGGAGAATAACGTAGCATGTAGCATTTTGTCGCTTCGCTAAGGCCTTACTTTATATCAATGATAATACAAGTACATAACCAATCCATTAAGGTCTTATTTTTGTTTGTTAGTTTGTTTGCGGTACACGGGGGCCTCTCACTGTTGTGGCCTCTCCCGTTGCGGAGCACAGGCTCTGGACGCGCAGGCTCAGCGGCCATGGCTCACGGGCCCAGCCGCTCCGCGACATGTGGGATCTTCCCGGACCAGGGCACGAACCCACGTCCCCTGCATCGGCAGGCGGACTCTCAACCACTGCGCCACCAGGGAAGCTCCAAGGTCTTATTTCTTTTCAGTCACTGAGGCAAGGGCTTTATGTATATCATTTCATTTAATCCTCACATCAAGCCGTGAATAGGTATTATTATCCTTCTGAGGAGAGAGACATTAAATAACTTGGCCAAGGTCACAGCTAATGAGTTACAGAGCCAGGATTCAACTTAAGAATGAGTGGCTCCAAGAATCTCCTGATTCTCTGAGCATCAGAGACCTGGCTCAATTCCTGGTTCCTCCATGAACCAACGGTGTGCGCTTGGCAAGTCGGTTAACTTTTCTGGGCCTCATTTTCCACATCTGTGAAATGGGTAGGTTGAGCTAGATGATGTGTTAGGCCCCCTCCGTCTCTGATATCTAGACTTTGAACCCCTTGAAGGATATCACTTATGTATCCCCAGCACCTAGCAGAGGGCCTGGCCCAGAGTGGGTCTAAGTCCACGTCTGTTGAGCTAAATCTATCCTGATGGGGCCCCAGCTCTTAGCTCCACAAGTAGTTGCCATTTCCAAATCTCTGCATTTCATAGCCTCCCCCATCCAAAGATACCATAATTTATCCATTTTGATTGTTTTCCATTTTTCGTATTAAAAAAAAAATGTTACTGGCCCAGGGAGGTGGGGCCTGCCGCCAGGGGGATCCGTCCGCTGTCGTTGCAAAGTGGAACTCTGCCACGCGGTCAGCCTGCCACACGGTCATTCTGCCGGCAGGCACTGTACAAATCCATGGGGAGAAAAGTCCAAGCAGTGAGGCCTCCGCTGCACCGGCCATCCTCTTCTCCCAGGCCTGGGCCCTAGTTGGCCCTCCCGCCTCCCCTGCCCCGCCCTGCACAAGGGGGCTTGCGAATGGTCAGGCAGCCACCCAGACGCCTTCCTTCCTCTCCAGACAAGATGGCGGGGTGCGAGGCTGGTGTGACTTTAGGGCAGCCGCACCTTTCTCGGCAAGATCTCAACACTTTGGATGTTACCAAGTTGACGTCACTTTCACATGAAGTTATCAGCAGACAGGCCACAATCAATATAGGTACAATTGGTCATGTAGCTCATGGGCAATCTACGGTTGTAAAAGCTGTTTCTGGAGTTCACACTGTCAGGTTCAAAAATGAACTAGAAAGAAACATTACAATCAAACTTGGCTATGCTAATGCTAAGATTTATAAACTTGACGACCCAAGTTTTCCTTGGCCAGAATGTTATAGATCCTGTGGAAGTAGTACACCTGATGAGTGTCCTACAGATATTCCAGGGACCAAAGGGAACTTCAAATTAGTCAGACATGTTTCCTTTGTTGACTGTCCTGGCCACGATATTTTGATGGCTATTATGCTGAACGGTGCCGCAGTGATGGAAGCAGCTCTCCTGTTGATAGCTGGGAACGAGTCTTGTCCTCAGCCTCAGACTTTCAAATACCTGGCTGCTATAGAAATCATGAAACGGAAGCATATTTTGATTATACAAAATAAAATTGATTTGGTAAAAGAAAGCCAGGCTAAAAGAACAGTATGAACAGATCCTTGCATTTGTACAAGGTCCAGTAGCAGAAGGAGCTCCTATTACTCCAATTTCTGCTCAGCTAAAATACGATATTGAAGTTGTCTGCGAGTACCTAGTAAAGAAAATTCCAGTACCCCCAAGAGACTTTACTTCAGAACCCCGACTTATTGTTGTTAGATCCTTTGATGTCAACAAACCTGGCTGTGAAGTTGATGACCTTAAGGGGGGTGTAGCTGGTGGTAGTATTCTAAAAGGAGTATTAAAGGTGGGCCAGGAGATAGACGTCAGACCTGGTATTGTTTCCAAAGATAGTGAAGGAAAGCTCATGTGTAAACCCATCTTTTCCGAAATTGTATCGCATTTCGCAGAGCATAATGATCTTCAGTTTGCTGCTCCAGGAGGTCTTTTGGAGTGGGAACAGAAACTGGCCCCACTTTGCGCCGGGCTGACAGAATGGTGGGGCAGGTGCTTGGTGCAGTTGGAGCTTTACCTGAGATCTTCACAGAATTGGAAATTTCCTATTTCCGGCTTAGACGGCTTCTAGGTGCACGCACTGAAGGAGACAAGAAAGCAGCAAAAGTGCAAAAGCTGCCTAAGAATGAAGTGCTTATGGTGAACCTAGGATCCCTGTCGACAGGAGGAAGAGTTAGCGCGGTCACGGCTGATTTGGGCAAAATCGTTTTGACTAATCCTGTGTGCACAGAAGTAGGAGAAAAAATTGCCTTTAGCCGAAGAGTTGAGAAACACTGGTGTTTAATTGGTTGGGGTCAAATAAGAAGAGGAGTGACAGTCAAGCCAACAGTAGGTGATGACTGAAGAATTAAATAACAGATTTGGATGAAGTCGGAATTTCTCTTAACCTAGGGGTATATTTTCAAAGCAATAGTGAGGAATTAATTTCACAGCTCATTACCTTAGGAGTACCTGTAAGGTTATTCTCATTTTTTAGTGATGAAAAGTTAACCTCTAAAATAGGGTCTACAATAAATGTAAAAATGGCATAATGTTGGCATAATGTTGGATTGAATCTACATTTTACCAGAAACTAATCATTCCCAAATAATGTCTAATTTATACATCAGTGCAGGTTTGAAAGGAAACTGCTACAACCAGCCTTTGCTGTAGCACACATCCCACTGAATCTGTTTGAAATAAAATTTTTCTTCTTAAAAAAAAAAAAAAATGTTCCTGTATGTCTCTCTCTTTTTACTATCCTGCATGTCTCTTAATGGACTAAAGTATCACTTAGTGTATATCCAGATGTGGAGTTCTTGGGTCATGGGGTGTACACAAATCCCTCTCAAAAGTTGTCTTAGGAATTTCCATTCCCACCATGTGTAAGAGCTACCCTTTCCCCATATCCTTCCAAAACCGAAGTTTGTCAGATTTTAAAAATTTTGTCAGTTGGCTGAGTGTGAAGTGGCATAAATATATTTTAACTTTTCATAGTGGAAAATTTCAAGTATTTACACAATAGTAGAAAGAATAGTACAATGAACTTCTACTGTACCTATTATTCACCTTCAACAATTAATAACTCCTTACCAATTTTGTTCCCTTTCTATTCTACCACCCATTATTTTTAACTGAATTCCAAATGTCATACCATTTCATCTGTAAATATTTCAGCAACATCTCTAAAAGATAAGACCTCCCCTTTTTAAACACAAGCACAGTACATCATCAAACAGCACCAAATGTCAACAATTCCTTAATATTATCAAATATTTGAGTCCAATGACACTTTTTTTTTATATTTGTTTGAATTGGGATTCAAACAAGGTCCATACATTTTTATTATTATTTTTTTATTTTTTGGCCACACTGTGTGGCATGTGGGATCTTAGTTTCCCGACCAGGGATCGAACCCGCGCCCCCTGTGGTGGAAGTGCAGAGTCTTAACCACTGTACCACCAGGGAAGTCCCAAGGTCCATACATTGTGTTTGGTTAATATTTGCTAAGTTTCTTTTAATGTATACGTTAAATCTCTGTCTCTCTTTTTTAGTATCTTGACATTTATCTGTTAAAGAAATCAGATTGATTTTCCTGTTAGACTTCTTCCTAGTTTAGCTTTTGCTAAATGCATCCTTGGGGTGTCATTTCATGTGTTCCGCAGTCCCTGTATTTCCTGTAAGCTGGTA